CTGACATGCAAAACGTTTTAGTCCTATACTACTGCAGGAAGCTATTGTTAGTGATTTCGTGGATGACCTAGATGTTGTAAAGCATTAAAAGTCACGGTTGTGCTATTAGTCTGCCATGGCCAGCCTTCCGCAGCACACTCTTAATTGATGCAGCCTGACATTTTCCCAAGCTACTGGACCTGAAAGAGAACTTCTGCCAGCTTGAGAGTGTCCTTGTCAGGGGAGCACATCACCGTCAACTTGAGTAGAAGTCCTGAACTGTGACAGAGAACATTAGCCGTGTGCCTGTGTGTGTTTTTTAATCAACATAAACCTTCAGCAGGTTGTAACACCAGGCCTGGAGAATTCCTGCTCCCAGGCACGCTGTGCAGAAAATCATCAGAAACAGAAGCTTCTTATGACAGGAAGGAAATAGTTATCATAATTCATCATTACTATAAACACATATCATAAGTGATGAACTGTATGAGCAGATGGCCTAGGGGAACATTACAGGATGCCCTTAAAATGAGAAATCCTCAGAAAATTCTTTCTACGCACTTCAGGAGTGCAGAACGTGTGAGATTTTCCATTTATCATTCAGATTTCTAAATACACAGTACTCCCAGGATCATTCACTTGTATTCAGCATAGAAAAGAGGAACACTAATGGGCAAAGTGTTTTATTATTATCATGCCATTAAATTGAATATAGCATTTATTTAATTCAGCATGTCTTATGCAATTATGTTGAAAATGATTTCAAAATGTTCACTGAAAATGTTACAAATTGACAAGCATAAGATCACAGAGCTGTTGAATTCTCCAGTCTGATTGGTCAGAAGCTGTTGATTAGTTTTCTGTAACAGCTTGTCTCTGATAGTAGTGCTGGTTGTAATTCAAATTAGAGGTTTATATTAATGAGCTTGTTCTTATACTTTATCGCTTCTACAGTAACTTCTAATTCACAGGGACTTGGATGGCACATAATATGGCTAATAAATGGATTAAACAAAAGAATGTTGTTATTTAACAAAGAAAAACATATAATTGTTGATGTAACCGTCAGTAAACCTTCCGCCACCTGAGAGTCTTCAGGACGGAGGAATTTGCATTTTCTGGTAACATGACAAGTTGCAATTTTGAGAGCGGATAAAGCAAGGCTGGTGAGGGAACAACTGTTTATAGCTGATATAACGTAAGTGATAACAAGAACTAACTTGTCTTGTGGATGTTTTTCTCAACATTAAATGTAACTATAAATCGTTAAAAAGCACGTGTCATTCATTAACATGTCTGTAATTATTGGTAAATTGCTGTAGTATAAAAGGAATAAAACATTTCAGGATGTGCTTTACAGAAAAATAGTCAACATTAGGGTGGTAACACTAACTCCATGGACTATGTTTAGCCTGTCATGGATTATTTTCCTATAGCAGTACATACACCATGTTTGATTCATTACTTATGTTGACCTTTTTGTCATATAATGTAGTGACATTTTCAGAATTCAGAATGCAGATAAAGAGAAGAGACAGAATTGCAATATGTTATTATTTTCTCAAACAGCAATTCACTTTATAAATAGCTTATGAGGGCCATTCGAAGTAACATGTCTGCAGTTGATGCAGATATCCTTATTCAGGACACACTAATCTACCCACCATACACACATGCTCACTCACGCACACACTCAGCTGACAGTCTGGTGGTCATCACAAAAGACTGTGACATGTTCATTAAGCAGCAGGGATCCCATTACAGCACTCACCAGCCTCTCTGTCATATCCCTCACACATAATTAGTCAACGGAAAGCTAATTGCCCTCCTACTCATGCTCTCTAGCCATTTCTCTCATACACACACATACACAAACACACACAGGCATACCATGATTTAATTCTTGCTTGCGGTTGTCCTCATGTACACAGGGCTCAATGTCCTTGTGTATAATGTAGTTAGAGTGTTCTGTTCCGTGTGTGTGTGTGAGACGGAGACTCGCTGTGTCTCTGAAAGAACTTCTGAACCACCAACGATGCCACATGTGTCTGTACTCAGCAGCTTCAGAAGTAGTGCTGCATTACAATGACACAAACACATGCGCCTTGCGAGCTCCCTGCAGGTCTGTGCAGAAAGCCCTCCTGAGGTGAGGTAAGAATGGGAGAATTTTGAAAGGCTTCAGAGGTAACGCATGAATAAAGATACTGAGAGTGACAGCAGGATCCTGTACCTGCCTTTAGGACACACCACTGTACTGCAGCCTCGCAGACCTCATACACTTTATTATAAAGAGAAAATGAGAAAATATCCTGAAGAGGGACAAAAATATTCACTGTGTAATTATCTTTTTTTTTCCAAAGACACTGAGATTGGGGACTGCATGGAGCCAGAATTTCCACCAAATGTGTACTTTTATCAGCGCAATTGGGCAATTTAGCTCATTTGTTTGCCTGTTTAAATCCGCCTTTGTTTCCCCGTCATTTCCTCAGCCTTCTGGGCAAAGTATATGCCAGGAGCACATTTTATAACTGAGCACTGTTGCGTTCTCTACCACTGAGGCTTTCAGAATTACTCCTTCCCACCTCCTTAGGCAGGAATGTCAGTGAGAATCGTTTGAATACCCTGTCAACATCTTTTCTTTTGAAATAAAGTCTACGACTTCTCTTTGGTGTTTTGTGAATGTGTGCTAGTGTCTCTATCGACATTGTGAGCCTTTAATACTCAGAGTAAGAATTCCAGCCAGGTTAACACTGAAAAGGGAAAAAAAAAAATTACCATTATTTTAATTCTCTTCCACATCAGTGAGGCTGTCCGTTTGTAGTACACATGCAGAGCAGCGTGATGGTGCTATTGGAAGAAAGGAGGGCTCAAGAGATTGGTTAGAAATGGCGCCTGAGGGCTGCTGGACTACTACCAGTGAAAAGACTTATTGCTCTACAGAGAGCTGTGTTCATTTAAACACACAGGGACAGAGGCAGCTGCGAAGAGCCCGACCTCATAAAACCGCATTCACAGTCCACTGAGGCTGTGGCCTCGCTTTAATTATGAGTCTTTAGCTCCTGTCTACTGCCTCTTACATCCTTCTTTCTTTCTTTTACTCATTCTTCGAGTTCTTTCCATCCTTGTGCTCTCAACAGTGTTCTCTTATCTCTTTCTTTTCTTTCTCCCCACCCGCACCTGGGTCTTTTCCTCCTTTTCCCCCTTATACATCCTCTTCTGTTGGTTATCATTATCCTGATCAATTTATCGGATAGTTCACACTTCTCATTTGTACTTACTCCAACATTCACATATATAAACTGCAGAAAAAAAACTCACTACTCTCTCTAAAGCAATTGCTTAGTTTTGGGTTTGGCTAGTTCTTGTAAGTTTAGTGGGCCAACAGTGCCACCAAGAGGCCCCAGGTAGATTGCAATGCTGCCTGTGTATGTTCGTACATGTCTGTGTGTGTGTGTGTGTGTGTGTGTGTGTGTGTGTGTGTGTGTAGAGCAGACGTGACCAGGGGGGAGACAGAGCAGGAAATCAGGCACAGAGAGTCATAACACACTGTAGCATATGACCTCCCAGTTCGACTCTTGTAATTAGATATTATCATGTAATTACACAGAACTGTCGCACGCAGTATTCAACAAGTGGACAGCCGTAGCATACACGCGCACACACACACACACACACACACACACACACTGAGAGAGAGAGAGAGAGGGAGAGAGAAAATTCCTCACTTGGCATAAATAATTCCTACACTGCTGTGCTCATTAGAATAATTGCATACCCATTGTTCTCTTTGAAAACAAATGTAAAATTGTAATTTAGCTCGAGAAATTGTCATTTGTAGCTGTATGTCACCCTAATAAAGTTGCACCCCCTCTAGATTCTCTCCTGCTCATTGTCTCATCTTCTTTATGACTCTCTACCACTTTCTACTAATGAGTGTGTAAAATATTAATGCTGACAGTCTAAAGAATGAAAAGGTGAACGTTATGCAGACTCCTGGTGTGTGGTGATGTCATGAGGCAGCTAGTGTGTAAATGAACAGTGTGTGGTGATGTTACGGTTGCATAGACACTTTTGGTTAGGGTTACACATAAGGTATTACTTCATTTTAATGTAATTAAACTGCAATCTGGTCACGAGTACAGAATATTAATGGAATACTTTAGAGAAAAATTTATACAATTTTCCCCTTATCCCAAATGCAGTTGATCACTTATCACAGACGTTTACTGTCTGATGTTTGATTCACTGTGGATGCAAGGCCACACTCGTATTGAAAAGGATTCAACATCTTTATTTGGTGATATAATGTCATTATGTGTTAGTAATACTATACTTGTTTCATCAGTGCAGAGCGAAAGAACCAAATGTTGAGCAAAACCATGTCATCACTGTTTGGCTATAATAGGACAGCTTGGGTAAAACTGTGAACATTTTTTGGTTAAACTGTTCCTTTAACCGCCAATCTCCCACTACACCAAAATACAATATTTACAAATAACATAAAAATTGTGATTGCATACGTATACCCCCCACTTCCCACACCCAAAAAACTTCCTAAATTCATTCTCTAATTCCTAAACTGATACACGAATGAATTCTCTAATACCTACATTAATTTACAAATTAAAAAAAGGTTGTGATTGCATAAGTATTCACCTCCCAGTGCTCTGAAACTCATAATTAATTCTGGTGCAGCCTGTAGTCATCAGAAGTCACATAATTTGTTGAAGTGCGTTCACCAGTGTGCAATTAAAGTGTTATGTGACCTTAGTATAAACACTGGAAGGCAGGCCCCAGAGCCAGTTAGAGAACCTGTGTAAACAAAAAGCATCATGAATAACCAAGGAGCTATTCAAACAATTCCAGAAGCAAGTTTTTAAAAAAGTATCAATTTAAGTTTGGTTAGTTAAAACAAAAATCCCAAACTTTTAACATTGACCAGGGTGAATACTTATGCCATCACAATTTTCGTATTTGTAAATACAGTATTTTAAATACAGCAAACTATATTGCTTTTCTGGGGCACAGTGGCTTAGTGGTTAGCATGTTTGCCTCGCATCTCAGGAGTTGGGGATTTGATTCCCGCCTCTGCCTTGTGTGTGCTAAGTTTGCATTTTTTCCCCGTGCTTCAGGTACTTCAGTTTCCTCCCCCAGTCCAGTGACATGTTGTAGGCTGATTGGCATCTCTAAATTCTCCGTAGTGTGTGAATTGGTGTGTGTGTGTGCACGATTGTGCCTTGAGCCTTGTGCCCCAAGTCACCTGGGATAGGCTCCAGGCTTCCCGCGACCCTGTTTAGGATAAGCAGCACAGAAGATGGATGGATATTGATTTTCCCCCTCACTTCAATAATATGGGCTATTTCTGTAGATTCATAACATCTAATCCTCATTAAGTCCATTTCAGTTCCAGGCTGTATAAAAACATGTGATTAGGCCAGAGTAATCTCATACTCACCAGAAAAGTTAAATTGAGAGACCTTATTGTTGTGAAGTGTTATCGGGTACCACCTGAATTTGTACATCTAGTTAAACATCTTAGTCACATTTGCATAAAAGATGAAGATGGAGAGGAAAGAAAGGCCATAACACTTCTTAAATTGTGCTTGACTATATAAAGATAATGAGGTCGGGGCAGTGTTTCATAAGAGACACTGGCAGCAGTATCACTTAGCAGTATATAATTTCTGTAAGTGTTCAAATTATTTCACTCCTGATATTAACAGTGTATAGCTCACTGTCACTCATTAACTACTTGGAACTGACCCATGTCTTTTAGATAAGTGTAGTTTTCTTCACTGATCCAGCAAAGAGGAAGAGCAGAAAGACCTCAGTGTGATAATTATACCCAGCAAGTGACGCAAATGATGGGGGACTTTACTGGAGTGACCCCGACTATCCTCTTCTTTGCCTGTGCTCCTCTTTTTTTCTAATTAGATAACTACTTAATAAAGCCACTTCAGTCAACAACATAACACCATTACCAGCTCTCTGAAGCACCACTGAACTCCCACAGTCTCGCTGTGAAGAGCATGAAGATACAGTAAATGAAGCAAGTCATGTATTTGTCATCAGGGTAATAGGACAAGGCTAAAACAAGAATGACAATTCTTTTTATTTTTGTTATTTAGAAGGTCTTGTTGTGTGTACAAGGCCCAATGATGGGCTGTTGATCAATTCCATCACCCTTTTCTCTCTGGAAGAGAAGCTCACTGGTGTTTGATTTTACCTACAACCTTAAAGTGTTTTCCAAGACCTTTTAGGATGCTGAATACAACCCTAAAATATTGTTGTTGTTCTCTGGGCTGCTCTGGTTAGTGGTCGCCACAGCGGATCATTGGTCCACATGTTTGATTTGGCACAGGTTTTACACCGGCTGCCCTTCCTGACGCATTCCTCCTACTTTATCCAGGCTTGGGACCGGCACTGGGAATACACTCCCTAACATCCCTAACCCTGCCCAGGAATCAAACCCGGGCCACAGCGGTGAGAGCACGGGATCCGTTTTTGTCTATAAATTGTCTATAAAAAATGAGAATACATTAAAAAAACAAGAATATGAAGTAGTATGATGTACTACCATTGAGAAGAATTCAGCATAGAGCCTAATTTAATAAAGTCATTAATACAGCTGGTGCCATAAAAAGACAAAGAATTACTTAAAAAAAGAATTAGTAAAAAATGTATGACAAACCAATCATCACAAATGACATATATAAATGGCTTACCTCATTAAATGATCTTTTTTTTTTTTTAATTACAATATTATTCACATTATTTACTTATTAACAGTGTGTGCTCAGTGTGTGCTAAGTTCAGGTGTCATGTTGCATAGAATATGATTAGAATCTGACAAGATCAACATGTGAGAGAGAAAAGAGAGAGAGAGAGCAAGAGAGAGTGAGAGAGAGTACAGCAACAGGTATATTTTCTCTTCCTCCTTAGTATGCAAATACTTACCTGTCACAAAAATAGACCAATCCAAGGAACAGGAAGCAGACAGGCTAAAATTCTCATTGGTGAACTACGACTCACATTCTCCATTATAGTTCTGTGAGCCAAAGTCATTGCAAAACAGTGACAAGGACACCTTACAAGTCTGCGCTGTGCAGTGGACATTATTCAACATCTCTGGTGAGCAATAATTTTCTGATTTCCTTCAAGACACTATCAATTATGTGTATGAAATTCTGTTGCATTATGCTTAATTTTCTAACAGAACTATTTCAGAGATTTCAAGGATTAGTAGATGATTACTATGCTATAGTTTTATTTTCTAAATCGCTTTCAGTTTGCGTGTGTGTGTGCGTGTGCGTGTGCGTGTATGTGTGTCCCACAGCATTCCATGCTTTGGAACACACAATGTAGTGTACAGATCTTCTAGAAAAATTTTTTTCTAAAACAACCAATAATAGATAGATAGATAGATAGATAGATAGATAAAGTTTTTTTATTTAACTTAAATAAATAAATAAGTCAGTGTATATTTTATAATTTTTTATCATAGTTTCTGTAAATTACTATTTTTATGAGTTATTATTTGTTGATGAATTCACAACAGGACAAGTTTTACAGATTCTATTCTTCACCTATTACTAAAAAATGTTACAGCTCTAGTTCTTGCTCTGGTTCTGATCCTCATTTCACCCTCCACACAAGTTATTTTAGTTGTCTGTGTGATGTGGAAATTATATTAGCGCAAATAAGTAATGCTGATCATGCAATTAACATACTTCAGTGGCATCGGGACATCCAGTTGAGATCTGCTAATTGTTGTTTATTACTTATACATTTCGAACCCTTGCTATGAATGTGATGTGGATGAGTTCACAATGAACTCACAATGAAATAAGAGCTTGTTCTGAGATTCGAGATGGTGTTTTTCAAATACCCTCAGATGTTAAACAGTGTATTCAACTGCATTTTTTAGTACGAACCACTAATTAGGACCCGCTGTAATATATAGATCCATTTTTAGTACCGCAACAAACGACAAAAATAAACATAACACTATCACTGAAACTCACAAGCAGTGCATTTACCAAGCAGTCTACACACTCATAACTAATCATGGGTTTAAAAAAAAAAGAAAAAGAAGAATAAGAAGCATTAATTATTCCTGATTGAGACTCATTTCCTCCATTAACAATAGCATCACTATAAAATGACTCCAGAATGTTGGACACAGGCAATTCTACAGTGCTACAAAAACAACTGTACCCTAATAAAAGTAGAAATAGTCTGTATTTAGTAACAGTAATTTAGAAGGACTTTTCTTACTAAAGCGGATCCAGTCCATAGATCCACTGACTTTCATTTCATGTTGTTAGTCAGATGACCAGTCATTATCAAAACTCAACGAATACCGCAGATGTAATGACTAAGAAACAACCAGATGAACAAAACTGAAGAGGAGAAGACTGGATAGAAATATGGCATAGTTGACTACAGCACAAGAGGTTTATATTAATTTAACATAAAAAAATAATCTAATTTATTTGATATGTTTATAAAGTTATCGTACAAAATAAAATGGCATGTTACACTATGTCATTCTTATACAGGACGATTACAAAAAGGGCACAATGATACAAAGTATTTGGAAAAACTGTAAGGATTCATAACCTAAAAGACTGGAGATTATTGATGGCTTGTAATTGTGCTAGAATGATCTAATGACCATTTCAAATATAAGTGAAGGCCTAAATTAGAGCAAGTTCACAATACCAGGTCATTCAAAAACAACATGCTATCCTAGATATTATCTGAAGAAGTTTAATCCTTGCACAAGGGATGGAGACACAGTGCAGGAGGAATCTCAGTTCACGACGGCAGAGCCAACACTGAAGCAGGCAGATTGTGCCTTATGAGCATGGTTTAATAATAATAATAATAATAATAATAATAATAATATGTATGCTAATATTGTCTAATATAAGTCAGCCCACTATGCATAATTCCCAGGAAATCTAAGTTTTTGACCATGTTTTTGACATATTTTGATGGAATAGGCAAATTCCATTGGATTCCATGGGCCCAGGATAGCTTCTCTTGTTATACTCCTCCTAAAAAAAAACAAACAAACACACAAACAGAGTTTGACAGAGTGGCAGCTAGAAGCATAGGCATTCAGTGCCAAGAGGGCCATGACTAAGGCATTGATTATACTGTTAACTGAAGAAGAACAGGTGAACCTTTATTTATGCAAAGCAGAAAGCGTCATTCCTGTGTAAATGCAGTTTTGTTTGTGTGGTTAAGCAAGGCACGAAACACACCCACACACCTGATGATATGGTTTTTGGACAGGATACAGGTTCTTTTATCTTTATACAGCTTTAGTTGGTGAAATATTTGATCAGCATTTTAAGCCAGTTCCAGCTGTTTGCTTTGACTGTTCTCCTCAATTTTCAAATGCAGTAATTCTGCTCAGACCTTTTTTTTTTCCATGCCTTTAGTTCTGGACCATGGTCCTTCATAGTGGCTGCAGCATGAGCATCCCTGCTAGTGTGAGTGTTGAGAGCCAGCTTCCCGCCTCCTGGAGCCCCCACTACAACAGCCCAGATGGTACTGTCCATCTTCATTACATTAAACCTCCCTCATGCTTATTTCAGCATACTTCCACATACTGTACAGCTTTAATAATCAATAATGCAAATTAAGCTTTTATATAAGCCTGGAATGCTAAGGTGAAATCATTCTCTCTTTGTAAGTTCTTAATATACCAAGACCTATAAGGTTATTATTAAGCTTCTATTATTATTATAAGGTTCTTTTACACTTAATATAATTAATATCTCAAAGTCACAGAAATGTCAGATTGAATGTTATAATTCCAAGGTCTCAATATGGCAGAATTCACACGCAACTGATCAGAAGTTACTCAACCTCATAGGTGATAATTCAACAATGTAGACTTTGTTGTGCATAGTCACCACTGACTTAATCATTTCTGAATAGCATTGCACAATGTTAATAAGAATTACAATAGATACATTTTTAGGATTAATTATTTACACTAGTCACTTCTGATTCTAGTAATATGTGATTAATAAATGTACTAGATACAGTCATACAAAGCAGGATACTGTCTACTGCTA